TTAGGTTACCTATTACCCAAAAGAATTACAATAAATTGTTAATCGGGGCTTGGCATGACGATTTATTACCCCTCTCCCCCCTTGATTAATTTCTGGATTCGCCCCTGCTTAAAAATATTTATATTTTATACCACCATTATAGTGTTGTTTTTACTTAAGTCTTATTGAATATGAAACTTTATCCTTCGAATATAGCGAATTAGAAGTTACCTCCATTAATAACGGTAGAAGTAGAAAGATAGTTTAAATAGTATATAAGTTAGCTTTACATCGAATATGATTAGGTATTTATAATTAATAATTTTTTTTTTTTTACCCATATAAAGTTACTTATTGCAATTAAGGTACCTAAATAATCATTTTTTGATTTTTAAAGTTATGTTATATTAACATGATAAAATTTTTATTGAATAACAAGTATATTTATGCTTAAAAATAAATTAAATTAGATATTTTAACATTTTAGCTCATATTTATGTACTTACGTATTTAGATATATTTATAAACCTACTAAAATATTAATATTTTGGTTATGTTAATGCATTAATATTCAAAACTTATGATTAGGGCTAGGGACTTCATTCCCTAAAAAACCTTAAAATATGTATGCATTTATGCCTTTAAAAATTACCAAATATGTTATTAAAATATGCACAAAAAAATAAATAATAAAATTTTAATTTAGAGTAAAAAAACTTGTCATAATAAATAATTGATTTTCTTCTAACACCCGAGTTCTAGTTAGGAATCACGTGTGAGGTATACCATTAAGGCCATAGCCCATAAATAACAGTGAGAGCGTTCAGCAAGAAAAACAATACTAATGTCTAATTATATATATAAAACCATAAATGTAATATTTCTGGTCTAGGAAATCGATCTAAATTTAAAAGTGATTGTATAAAATATTTAAATAATTATAAAACTACCATTTTCATATTAAAAATGCTCAAATATGCAATTATAATTAAAAAATGGTCAAATATGCAAAATATGCAACTATAAATTTTAAATATGAACTCGTATTACCATGAAACAAATTTCTATATTACTTAGCTATGTTTTGAATGATTATTGAAAAACATGCAAACTCCTAGAAGTCCCTAGCCCTACTTATGATAGTATGATTATAATACACTAATACAGCTGTTTCCAAATTGCGGGCACGCTTCTCTTAACAGGCACAAGAATATAACAGGGGAGATGTGGTGTAAAAATATGTTTAAAAATTACACTTATTTTTAAACCATTTTGTGCATTCGATTATAATTTTTTTAAACCTTAATAATGTAGAAAACAAACGTACTGTTCATATTAATTATTTTCTAATGTATAAGATAAAAAATTATATTACTTAGTAGTTGGTATATCAAAATAATAAAATAAACTTGAATGAATGTTTTGTTTTATTTAATATAATTTTCGTGAGGCGCAAATCAAAAAAGTTTAAAAAATTACGAAACATTCACATTATAAGTTATAATAATTTAGATAAATGTTCAACTTACATTATAAACTATAAACGTAAAGCTACAGAAATACAGATTAATAAGCATAAATATAGCAAAAGATCAAAATATAACAAAATCGCTATTAATCCCCTGCTCATATAGCATTTACTCCACAGTATTTTCTAGTTATTAGGAAATACTGGAAAGTGGAAATGGCTTGATCACATCTTTATTTAAGTCTTGAAATAAATTTATTTAATACTTCTAAAATGCATACATGTATAATATATCTGTTATCAGTTTTTGATATGAACAATTTATGTATATTATAAATTTATAATTGTTTGAAAGTTTAAAACTGAGTTTTCATTCTACATACGTATTGTATATAGTTGATTATAATATTCAAACTTTAGTTAATATGGTACAACTAATCCTAAAATCTCATAAGGAGAAAAGGCTAAAGCCTTTCTACATATTTTTTTATTTTAATAAAGTAATCCATGGAGCTTTAATTCTACATAGATCCTTCTATTTATTGTCTATTTATATTATAAAAAAAAAAATCATAATTTTTACTTGTTTTAAGTTTTCCTCAAAAAATTTCAGATCTGATATATTATTATTTACTTAATTTTTAATATACTTTTAATTGTGATTATCAAATAGAACCTAGTAATAAAGTTATACCCATTGAAATAGATTAATATAAAACTGACAAAAAAATGTAAATCCATTTTACAGTATATTAAACAAGTAAAAATTAAGTTATGCACTTATGCATAATTACGGTGAGAGTAGTATTGACTGCAAGTGCGTATCGCTTGCAGTATTTTACTAGGCAATGTTAATTATTATTATTTATTCATCCTAAATTTATGTTATTGTTATACTAATCTAAAAATTAAATAATCTTAAACTTTGAAGTGTTATAACTGTTATGAGTAGTTTTTTTTTGTTAACACAATACACACACACACACACACACACATATATATATAATATACTCGTATATACATATTATATTTTATATGGACATACGAATGTATGTACATTACCGTTATTACCATTAACAAAAATATATATTATTAAATACTTATAAATAAATCATGTTAAAAGAAAACAAACATCTTAAGCCAAATAATGTAAAGAAAAGTATATGTTAAAAATAAAAAGTGAAAATGAACTACCTAATATATACAATATACATATTATATAGCCATTAGTTAATAGATGGTATTAACTATTAAGTACCAACGTCATGTAGATATTATTAAAATTAAAACCACTGTTATTATTTATTTATAATCAGTGATAATACTTTATAATTATTGATGCATAAAATATTTACAAAACTCTATTGTACTGTAGGTAAGTATATTGACTAAAATAAAACCAATGCCACGGACAATAAGTGATGGCCCTGTACGTCAATCTTGATTTGTCCGTCATCCGTGTTAAACTGGACAGACCTAAAATAAGTACTATTTTAAAAAGTTGGGCTGATGTAATTTCCTACGTCTGCAGTCATACCAAAAAGAGTAAAATATGTACAAATATATAAAACAGTCACGTAACGCGTTGACTGTTAACAATCAACATATCTGTAATAAGCCAGTTTAAGCTATTTTTAATACCTAATAGTTTATTTTTATTTGAGTGATTAACTCAAACAGTTTTTTTTTGTAATCATAGATTTAAAACAGAAAAGTTAAGAGAATATATAAATATTAAGAAGTACGCATATTCGTTAAGTCAACAGCACTATTTATATTGTTTAATACATAATTAGTGTTCTATAGTGCACCTTAAAATAAAACTTGATACTGCTCTATCTCGTCATCGAGTGAGCGATCATTATTTTTTCCTGTTTTATTTTATTGCGGGTATTGTTTTTGCCATGATTAGGGGAAATCGAATGAAAAAAATCAATTGGCAGATGGCATTTATAGGCGTTGGTATGGTACAGATGAGAGGAATAGAGTAGACTCAAGAGTGATGATGATTATGATGATGACGACGATGATGATAATAATAATAATAATAATAATAATAGTAATAATAGAAATAACGTATAAATATATGAAACAAATCAGGCGCATACGCACAGTGAAATCGTTCGGTTATTATTATATTTATCACAACGCAGAATATATATTTTTGCCAGCCAAACGGCGCGGCAGCCTTTATTTTATTATTTTCTTTTCTCGGCTGTTTTGGCCGTTCGATGCTCGACCCCGCGTGGGGCTCGGAACGAGCTATTATTATTGCTCGTGTCAGCAGCGCTGTGTAAATAATTCAAACTTGTCGAGAAAAAAAAATAACAAAATGATTCATAAACACACACACACACACACATATTACGTGTATAATATTATTACAGTGCAAATACTTTTTAACGTGCAGTGTGCGTGTGCGAGCAGAACGAAATCTGGCAATCCGTCAGCAGGACCACTCGTTCAATGCATAAAGTATAAACCCTATTGCTGTAAAATGCTTATACCTAATGCGATATATTTCTATGACTATAATATTATACATCTTGTGTACAATAGCAGCAGTTCTCTCTCACCCAGACCTTGTATATTATACTTTTAATAACAACGCCGCCGCATTGTTTTGTTCTAAAGTCCTTTTACAATTACCATATTATTATTATATTATTAGGTATAGATATGAAATGAATAATAATTATAAACCAGCATAATATAGCTATCGCGAATAACAGTATAATAAACAATTATCACGTAAACAGAGCGCTGTATACGTAATAATAATATTAACATATATTATTTTATACGTACAACCGCTAAATGCTAATAACTTGATCGCTGATGTGCAATGTATAATATGTGATATAATTTTAATATAATGTGTATTGTAAATACGAGGTGAGGTAGTCGTTGGCCGCATTCCGTTTGCGCGGTGTACAATATTGTATTATAATAAATTTATAATGTAATATTTTATGCTATAAAATATTTTAGTATAGGTACCCAAGTACCTATATTATATCATGTTATAGGTAGTGTGCAGTACTGCAGTGTTTGGTGACAAGTGCGCGGTTAGGACAGGTAACAATTTTCGTCGGATTTTCCAAGTACAATTTCACCATGCCGTCGCCACTCCCTTTCATTGAATAATAAAATTAACATTCCAGCACACGTTCAAAAAGCTCATTGTGTACACGAACTACGGTCGTCCGATTTGCGTACGTATAGGTAGGTAGGTTATAATCTATAATTTTATGGTCGATAGAAGGAATAAAGGTTTTAAACGTTTCATAGGTAGGTAGTAGGTACCTCTATAGTCGTTTTTAAGTCGCGGCGATAGCTACAACACAACCATAATAAGTAATAACGTCATCTAACGTCTATATCCGTAATAATAATGTTATAATACAAATACCTTATAATATATATATAATATGTAAATACTAAATTGTGAGTACATAATAATAATACTATATTGTATATTTTTGTACAAATGCCGCCGCTTGTGCGTGCACAGATAGGTACCGATTTCACGTCGTCGCCTTAACCCTTTTTTCCCTTCCCTACCCGCCGACAGAACCGAGGTCTCCGCACGGGCGCCTACTATTCCTTTGACCCTGCCACCACCGAGTGCTGCTCAGCGCGAACCAGAACATTTAATCAATAACAAGATAAGGTGTTGTCTGCGTCGCTATCACGTCGTGATAAAACCGCCACTGCCACCGCTTATTAAAAATAATAATATAGGTATACAATTTTATTACAAATTATTATAATGTAACGAAAGCTCATAAAAGCTCTGGTATTATCATTAAAAAATATCATTCACCACCGCTGCTTACTCCGCTGTCGGTTATGAATAGCCAGGAAACAATAATAATTAAAAACAGGTTTTTGTTGACCATAGAAGAATCGTAGGTAATTTTATTTTCATTGTCGTAGCATCTTTATGGTGCCAAGGTGTACTTACGCACAAGGGCACGGGAATTCAGCGTCGTTGAATTCGTAGTCGCGGGACGAACACGAACGCCGGCGCGCACGCGCCAAAGGTGTGTACGCTGGGCGAATGTCGCGTGCCGCCGCCGTCGCCGCCACTGTCGATAGTGATAATGCACCGCGAGTTTTGAGAGGTTCTTCGCTGCAGACGAAGATTGGATGACGATCAATTCGTTCCGTCGGTTTGTCTATAATAATTACTGTTGATATTGTGAAATACCGCCGTCTAACGATCGGCGAAATGAACGTACTTGCCGGCCACCGTCGGTCTGTCGTCACTGAGCGCGCTCTCATGTCTCGGTCCGGATCCGCTACAGGAGGCGAGCAGGAGCAGTGATGTCAAACGTCAGAAAAACCAAGTTTGTGACCGTCAACGACTACACCTAAGTCAGTCCTCATGGTGGTGGCCGACAGTACTATGTTGTCAACAGCCAAGGAGGAGTTGTCGTCCGCGGCAGACGTGTATCAGCCACACGTCAACGTGGATGGTATACCGCCAATGCCAACGGCACTAGGGCAATCATCTACATTTCCGGGAAGTCCCATGACTGCCAAGAAGCAGGCTCTTAAGTCTTTTGGTGACATTCAAAGTCTCCTTGCGGCAGGCTACCAGAGAGATGTCAAGAAAATACTGCGGGACAACTGCTGGCCGACCAATCATCCTATCCGAGCTCAACTGTGGCCAGCACTTTGCAGACAACATGCATCCGAAAACAGTAACAACATGCAAGAGGGATTCTACTGGGATCTTGTAAGACAATTGTTTGGGTCTACTGGTAAGAACATAGTTGTGCATTTTCCAATATTACTATTTTATTAAATTAATAATGCAATGTTTTTATTCATTATTAGAAAAATTAGACTTTATCTACGGAAATTCATTAGATACTTATTATTTAAAAATCAAAAGCTGATAAATTTGATTTTATAATTTTTTTCTTAGGTAGGTCTTATTGATTTTCTAATAATTTAGAAATTTTCATTTTAATCTGATAGATATTTAAAATTTTAAAAGGGTGAAAGTAAACTAAATAATTTAATATTTTTATGAATTATTTAAAATAATTTATTTAAATAGGTACATACTATTTTATGATCAAATTTGTTTTTAAGATATATTACCTATTAGATACATCAGAGATACTTAAATGTTTTATTATCAGTTATCATTAAAATAACATTTTTTTGTGTTTAAATATAAAATTTAGTATATGTACTTTTATATACTTTTATATGTACTTTTATATACTTTTATATGTATCTTTTGTACTTTTTTTTTTTAGATACTGTTCTATTTACAAGTCAATTTTGATTTAGTATCTTTAATTTAAAATAAAAAAACAATTCTATTAAAATTTTAGAGTAAAACATTTAAACACTGATTTAAAATACAATTATTAATACATTTTGTTAATTTAATCTTTTATTTTTGAAAACAATTTTTACATTCTTTACATTTTATTAGATCTTCCAGATAAACCAATTATTTTACCAACATTTGTTGAGTCAAAACACAGACATTTACATCATCTTGATTCAACAGGCAAGAATATTACTGACAGAATTGTTTGCGTGCTGGGATTTGCTTGTCCAGACATCACTTATAGTCCTGCTATATATTCATTAACATCATTGTTGCTACACTTTATGCCTGGTTTGAATTTTATATTATAATTATTTTAATAACATATTTAATCTAAGAAACTATTTATTAAATTTATTTTTTGTATTTTGTATTTTGTTGTTTTTTTTTTTTTTAGAAGAAGAATGCTATAATAGTCTAACAAGCTTAGTTTCGTCCAAGAACTTAGTATTTGTAACACAAACAAAATTATTGTATGAAGTTACATGGAAAACTGTTTTAAATATATGTAGAAAACATGTTGTGCGTATCAACAATTTATCAAACTGTAAATATTATAAGAGTGTTTTTTAATTTTAAAAATAATAACTTATAGAAATCTGCTGCGGGGCATATTGGGAAACATTGTCCGATAAAAAAATCAGAAAAAATATACATGGATTGGATTTGGTGGATATTTCAAGGACTACCATTCCATCATGCAGTTAGTTAGATATAATGAGACAAAGATAATTTAAACGTATACATATATTATTCTTATTTTAGGTTCGAGTTATGGATTGTTATCTTCATGAAGGCATTAAAGTGTTGTATCGTATTTCAATGGCCATCTTGCAACTTTTTTATAAATACTCAATTACAAGTAATTCTATTTGGGCTGAAGAAATAAATAGTCATGGAGTAGATGTGGCTTTAATGAATTTTTGCCGTCAAATGCCGGTACGTAATTAAAATATATAATGTCTTTGATGAAATAAATAATAGTTATGATTTAGGTACATGATTATTATTTTATTTTAGGCAAATCCGCAGAAAGTACTTAAGACAGCATTTAAAATTCGAGGTTTAAGTTCAGCATATATTCATAGAGTTTTTGTAAAAACTGAGATGATATTGAAGAGTAAAGTTGTTTTATCTGGTTCCAATAAATTAAACCGTTCCTGTTCTAGTGAAAATTTACCTACTAGTCAATCTCAAATGAATATTCAGATGTCCTCACATACACTTACTATACGTGAGGTAAGTTGTATAATATAAAATAATTTATTATGTATGTATAATAAAAAAGTATGGGGGTGAAGTGGCCGAGCGGACTAAGGCGTTGGTTGCATCACGCACTGTCGCTGGTTCGAATCTCGATCACGGGCGGCATCACTCTTCAGGCAGTAATGGTGTCTGGAGAGAGAAGCCGCTGCCCCCCACCCAGGCATGGCAGCAACCTACGGGTGCCCACTAGAAATTCTGCCAAATAGGCGTTCGAACTATAGGCCATCGGGCCTACTCCCGGACATAAGCACCATACACAAAAAAAAAAAAAATAAATAAAAATAAAAAAGTAATTTTAATATTGCTGAAAATGTCTAAATAGTTACTATTTTTTTATACTTAAACAGTCAATACAAAATAATAAATGATTTTAGCATATTTTTCTTTGATTATTCATAAATACTGTTAACCATGTTCTCAACTTGTTTATTTTATTTTTAAAATTGATTATTACATAATAAATCTTTATGAAATATCTTTAATTTATATTTTATTTGAATATAATTGATATAACATTTACTGATACCTCCTACATTTAGGCAAATTTTATATTTTTGCCATAATCTTTTGCATTTTTAGTATTAGTTTGATTTGGGATTATTATACTTTCAGTAATCATAATTATAGTTGATATACTTTTACTGTACTAAATTTATTATAGTGTCATAAATTAAACATTTTTTTATGTTTAAAATATTACTGAAAATATTTAAAAAACTTTAGTAGTTGTTATATACAGAGTGATTTTTTTTTATCAAACAAAACTCATTATTTTAAAATCTATTAATATTTTTGAAAATATTTTACATAATGTTCTGGTTAAAATAAACAATATCTTTAAATTTTTAAAAAATTTTCTTTTTTGAATGACAACATTTTTAATTTCATGTTCTAAAGCATAATATATTTAAACACATAAGTATTGAAATAGTAATAACTAGTTTATAAGTTACAAGTCTTAAAAATTTATGCAAGCAGTGTGGAAAGTATAGGGAGAATTTGCAAAATGTTGGTCTGTTATTCTGCTCGTTTAAGCTTTAAATACTTATGATTCATAAATTATTTGTCTTAGTTTTAATTGTTATCTATTAAAATATTCTGTTTCAGAGTATAAATTTAAAAACGTATATTGTTATAAAAAAAAACATAAAAGAACTTAAAAAATTATAGCAGTTAAGATATTAAATAATTTTTTTAACTTCAAATTGTAATTACGTAAAAAAAATATTTTCAAAAACTTAAATTATTTTTAAAGCAATGAGTGTTGTTTGATAAAAAAAATCAGCATTTTTTTAAAAAATCAATCTTTTAAACAGAATATTTATGCTTTTACATTATTTTAGTTATAAATACTAAGCAACATAGTTAAGTAATTACTTCAAGGTGACAGGATTAAATATTTAAAATTTCAATTTGCATTATATACTTTACATATTTTTAGGATTTTGTTATACTTGATATATTTTGGCACAATTATGCATTTTTTACATTTAAAGACCATTTAAATTTTTTAAAGTTAACTTAAACGCTTTGTTAATAGTTTTTTGTAAGAGACGCTAATTTTTATGTTAATCAAAAACAATATCTATTTGAAAACATCAGCATTTTAAAAGTATAATCAATAAATGTATATAATAAAATTATAAAAATAATAAGATAAAACTACTTACCCATCAGTCTTGAAAAAAAAAATGTTTTTATTTATATAAGTTTTTAGTGATAAAGTATTAGATGCAATGAAATATTTTTATAAATTAAAAACAATTAAAACATTATTTTTATTTTTTATAAGATTTTATTGTAATCAAAGGTTTTGTACTGTATATTTAAGTACACATTTGAGTATAAATATACAAGCTTTTGTTTTTGAAAATATAAAAATAAAATGAGTAAGAAAATATTACAAACTTATTCTAAAATAATAATATGGCTTATTGTTATAAGTATTTTTATGTTATATTGTGTTAATTCTGTTTTAGTTTTTAAGTTATTATTAAATAATAATTCATATTATTGTTAAAACATTAGTTGTATAATAAACATGATAAAATTTATGTATGAGTAATAAATTGTTGTTTGTAAAATGAAACTATATGTCAAAAATTACATGATTTGTTTAAGAGAATTAGAAAATTATACCCTATGTCTATAGTTGAACATACCAATTCCAAAAATTCATTTAGATTCTATTCTTCTAAGATATAAGATGTTCTATAAAGTGTGTAATTTTTGAAAATACAATAAATCAGCTAAAATCAAAAATAAATTCAAGCTTTTTATTTTATTACATTTATAATACATTTTGATTTAATGTTAAAAATTATATTCACTATAAGTACACCTCCATTGTCTCTGTAAATTGTTATTTCCAGGACTCACATTCATACTCTGTTTAGCTGTGTACGAATTATACGGTTTTGATTTGGACTTTTTTGTGTTTCAATCAAACCAATTTGTTCAAATTTCCATATTAACTTTAGAACTGTTGATGCAGTTAGAGCTTTCTCTGTCAAAAAGTCTTGCAAAGTTTATGGACAGTTAAAGCTGAAAACTCACCATTTTTTGTAATGGGTTTTCAGTATGAGTATACACTGATGGTTACTGAATTGCTCTATGACAATTTATTCAATAAAAACGAATTACCATCTAATCAAAGTAATAATAGATGACAAAAATAATTCAAATAAAATTGACAATCTTCAAACAAAAAAATTTTATTTATTTAAAAAATTGCGCACTTTATGAAACATCCTTTACTTTCAACTGATCAAACAATATAAATTTGATTATTAATTTATTATGGCCATAAGACCTTAGTTTATATTTTAAAAAGATCTTTCAAATTATGATTTTTTTTTTTTTTTAATTGTATGTTAGAAAATTCTAAATACTTAGTTTTGAAAAAATGTTTATTTCACTATTTTTACTTGAAAAGTATACTTGGCAATTTTCATTAATTTTAATATAACGTTTTATGATTGGTTCTAATAAAATTGTTATGTTTGATAATTTAATTATTTTGTATTGTTCAATCTTATATTTTTTCTATAGCTGTTTATTAGTCTTAAAATGTATAAATTACTTATTATTTATCATAATCTTGTTATTAAAATCTTCAAACAATAGTGAATCATACTTGTATTTTATCAATAACATAATATTTGGTAATAAACTTGTATGTGTTATGCTGATATTCAGGGAGAACATTCACCAAGCCCTCGGGCTTCCACGATGGCCAGTTATCCAATTAACAATATCAGATCTTTGATAGCTAATCATCAGGATGTAAGTTTATTATCTAAACTGCAGCTGAATTCAGATATTTTATCAATTTTTATTTATTTATTTTTGCAGAATGTTTGAACTTAATTTATATATTTTTTTTATCTAAGCTTTATTCTGTATATTATTTGAGTACATGCAATTAGCTTATATTTTACAGTTATGATTTTAAAACTCTAGAAATTAAATCTAGAGTGCTCTAAGCTAAACATTTTAGTTTATTTTTTTAAATTTTAATTTTGCAAGATTAATTACAGTGTTGTTAATAAATTGTTTTTGCAATTAGAATATATATATATATTAGATATTTAGTGTTATCTATGTATATGTTTACACAGACCAACTTCTTAAGTAATCACTGTATATAGATAAATTTACAATTTTTGTTTAAGTATTATAAGTGCACATTAGACAATTATAATTAAAGTATATTCTAATAGAATTTAGATTTATTTATAAATACTATTATTACAACTTATATGAAAATACATTTTTGCGTTTGATATTTGTTCAGGGATTACATTTCTTAAGAATTTTTTTGTTAAGGCATTCGCTTTATTAGTTTATATTAACAATGATACGACAATTTTTCCAATTTATTGGTCATTATTAGGACTCAGATTTTATAGTAAAATAAATCATTACTTAATATTTATAAAACTCCAAAAAAGCATGTATTTAATTTAATCTTATAAAATAAAAAATAAAAAATTTATCTATTGAGATTAAAAAACAAATTTACTAGCTTATATTTAGTTAAACTATTTTCATTAAAACTTAGTTTTAGAGGGGAAGGTAAGGCTGTATACTCCTAACATAAAGCCTTCTTTCCAAGAATACTAAATATACTACTATAATAAGACCCATGGCATTTTAAAATAGCCATAATCATGAGATATTAATTTTTTGTTTTTTTTATTCATAAATATGAATTAATGATAATAATAGTATATTAGAATTAATAGTGTGGTGGCTTAAGATTGTAATTTATAACAAATAAAGTAAAAATGTTAATTTTTGATTTACACATTTTATAAAATAATTTTGTATATGTTTTATTAAAATTTTAAATACTTAAAGTAATATTCAAGAGGAACCATTCTATATATTTCAAAAAAGAGGTTTGCCGAAAGTCAGTGGTGCTGTTATGAGTATTATAGATTATATTTGTATATCACTGATTAAACTAAAATTTGAGTATTCCAATAATTATTTTATCATATATTGATAATTTAATTTTTTAATTATTTCTTGCAATAATATAGCAGTCTACTATTATAATAAAATTATAAAAATGGATTAAATTGTTTTAACATTGTCATGGTAAAAAAAGCACATCATAGTGAAAAATAAAGTTAACTTGATTGTAAATAAAATGGTTTGCAACACATTTGTATTCAACATTTTTCTTGTAAACCACACTTGTTACAAAAAGAAAAACTGACCGTCATATTTTGTAAACTTAATATTTTTATTTTTTTATTTGAATTTTTTTTTATACATTACACAATACACAGGCTAAAACAGGAATAGTTTACTACCTTACTATAATCATTATATTTGTATTCATTACGTTTTTATTAAAACTAAGATTGAATCAAAATAATCATTATTTTATTTTTTTTTGATTGGATACATTTATAATTTTATTGTTAACTAACAATATGTTACAAGTAAAATTTTATTCAATGCAATTTTTATAAAAAATTATTTAATTTTAGTAAGTTGTATAGTAATTATATAATTGTAATACATTACATATTGTATTTATGCATGAGTTAGTAATGTCTAAAAGTATTTTAAAAAATTGACAGAGCAAGTATTTTTTTTATGAAATAGTTTTTTTTTATTTCTTTATTACAAAATGTATTCTTTTAAAGTATTAAATTAAATTGTATATCATATTTTATATTACAAAAAAAAATAAAAATCAAGGCTTGTGACCAAAATTATTTATACCATAACATAATTATAATATACATTTTTTTTTATATAAAATTGTCATTATTACATAGAATGGAAAAATTCAGTTTCAATTATTAAATTACATTATACTGTCAATCTTCAAGATATCTGAACATTATATATCAATACATACATTTTAAATAAAAAATTTACTCAATAATTGTACAGTTATTTCTTTAATACATATTAGGGACTTATTTGTGTAAAATATTGGTGTAAATACTGTATAGGATATTATTTATATTATATTTTTCACTTAGCATGTTGTCTAAGCATCTAAATAAATAGTTTTGGCTTTAGAGTTGATTTGTAGCAGCCAACATTTTAATGTATTCTGATTTTTAATTTCATTATTAAATTATTATTCATGTTTTTAACAGTTTAACAAATTTATTTCATTATCATGGTTACAAGCCTTGAACTTAATATTTAAAATGAATACAATTTTATGTATACAAATTTATGGTAATTTTTAAATTAATTAATTTCAGCTTTTTACCTTATGGTCTTGGTTGCCAGTGAGGATAACAATGTACCAACCAATACTCCTTTACACAACTGAAGAGCATGGCTGTAGTTTGACTACATTCTATGTTAGAGTTGAACACCACGAACCAACACTTCTGCTAATAAAAACTTGCACTAATGAAGTATAAAATAATATACCTATACTAAAAATTATATTATACTGTTTGACAATTCTTAAATATTCTATTTTTATTGTTAAGGTGTTTGGTGCATATTGTTCTTCAAAATGGATTGAGAGAAACAAAAAGGATGATCGTGGAAATAGGCAAGCTTATTTTGGTACTGGTGAGACTTTCATATTTAGCCTTTATCCGGGTAAGGCAAAATACCCATGGGTTGGAATGGAAATTGATAATGTACATCATGCCAATGAGCTGTTTATGGCAGCTGATCAAAAAATGATAACCATCGGTGGAGGGTAAAATTATTAGTTATTTAATTTAAATACCAATTTGAAATTTATCATGATTATTTTTAATATTTATGTTCTTATTACAGCGACGGTCAAGCTATATGGATGGATGAAAATGTTCGATATGGAAAAACAGAAAGTTGTTCTACATTTAACAATCCACCGTTGTGTAAAAGTCGTGACTTTGAAATAAAAGTCTTGGAAGTCTATGGTTTTGATGGCGTGTAAGTAATTTAAAAAATAATACAATTACATTAGAATTATTAAGTGTTAAAGTTCAAAACCCTTCTGTAGGAGTCACAGGTTATAATATGACTTACCAAATTCACTTAGGAAATAAATTTTATTAATATTGGTTTAATCATGTTACATTGGTAAAATGTTAATCATTATTTTCTATTAAAAAATTAATAATTATTTTATTTTTAGGATTCTTTAGAGCAAGTAGCTATTCAACAAAAAAGCGATAAGTTTACTAGTCATATATTTTTTTTTACCCATGGTTACTTATTTAGTAAGTAAGAATAAGCAATTTTTGTAATATTAAATCCATGACAATTACAGCAATTTTGTTCATGGATTTTGATAATAAGTACTCATTACTTAGTTAATAATTGTTACATGTTTTGAAGTTGCACAAGTACTCAATTTTAATAAACAAATTTGATCCAAGTTTGAGTTATTTTTGATTAATGAGTATTTGAGTATGCAAAATAGTTCTAGTACAAATTTGTTTTAAACCTATTAAACTATTTCAATTATTAAAATATTACCTTATTATCATAATGTTGTAGGTATATATTTTTTTATTGCAATAAAATAATAATAACACCTTAAGTATTCATTGCTTGACATAAAGTTAGGTTTATTATACTTTTTACATACAATTATTGTACGTTCCTGCATATAATACTAAGTATATTATGATATTAAATCTAAATTAAAAATATGAGTATGTGTGCATTTTAAATATTTATAAGATGTTATTTTATTTCATATAAGTGATAAATACAGTCTGTTTTAAAAACAAAAGCATAATATTAAACCAAATAAATTTTTGCTCTAGAATAAATCCTTAATGTATTAAATATACCAGTATTTTATTTTAAAAATAATTAATTGTAAATTATACGTTGGATTGACTAGTTTATAACTTAATTTATGAGATAATATTTAAGTGATTGATACTAATTCAAAAAAAATTGTTTGGTTGATTTTTAATTCAACTATGTTTTACATTACAATATCTCTAAATGTGTTCAACAATTAATTTTAATCTTAAGAAATTTTTTGCCCATTAAATTATTTGAGTAGAACAATAAAACTTATAATAATATGTTCCTGAATACATTTTTTTTCTTTGAGCTTTATTCATTACAGGCTGTATATAAAAAAGTTTAGTCAACAAAAACTATTGTAGTTGATACCTTATTATATTAGTTAAAAATTAAAAAGTGTACTTAATTATTACTATTAGTGTGTATGTGTGTGTATTGTAAAAGGTGATGCAACAGAAAATTATGAATTGATGTTGGAACTACTAGTATACTGCTAACTTATAATTTTTAAATTAAGAATAATTATTTTCTGTTGGATATAATTCTTTATTATATATTTCTACATATTATTGGTATCGGAACACCAAGTAAATCACCACTTCAATATTTAATTGTTACATTTTATAAATACATTTCTATGATTCCTATTAATTTTGTAAGGTACATCTTTCATCTCTCTTTCTCTCTCTCTCTCTCTCTTTATACATATACATATATTTGTAATTGATTTATAAATATTTATATATTCTAATTTTTTTCAAAAAATATGTGGAAGAGTTCTACATATATTGGTGATTTATTAAACATAATGGGTCGATACTAATATATTTATACTTGATCATTTATGTGTGTTCTTTATGTGCATACAACATACATTTTAGAATGTGAATCACTTTTAATCTATTACTTTGAATATGATATACAAATTGCTTTTTAAAATTTACCATTTTATTAGTTTGAAATGTTAAGTATTGTGTTCACTAGTTTTATGATTAAGTTGAGTTTCAACTTCAAACATTAGAACAATTATTTCAATTGGTTCAACATTGAAGTGCATTTAATTTTAAACAATTTAACTAATATTCAACTAGTACTTTAAAAATGAGTTTATATTTATATGTTATAAAATTGATTTTGAATAAAATTTTATTTAGCATAAGCCATTTAGTATATACATGTAAGGGTGGTCTTATTCTAATTATTATTACACCATTTGTTGAATATTGAAAGTTAGTTTACAATCATTGTTTTTTTTTTTTTTTTAGTACATCAGGATATAATATTATACATTTGACATCATAATTTTCTTGGCTATTTTGTTGTTATTAAGTTAATTCCAATTTCATATTTATATATTTCTATTGTAATGAATAAAATAGTGTGTTTGAAATATCATGTTTAGAATATAATATGATTTGTATCAAGCGTAAAAAAAAAGTATACTACTTATGTTGTAAAATTGCGTTTTGCATATTATATTAAATTATTATTATTATGATTCGCTTAGAATACTATACTCATAGAATAGTGATATAAATATAAACTTTACAATATATTATAATATATTCATTATAGTTGACATAATTTAAATACTACTATAAATTATAATAGATGTACAATTTTACTGTCGAGTTTTTTAGTTTTTTAAAGTATACATACTTGTTGACAAGAGTATTTTATGCACACTCTTCTGTTAGTTTTATGTTAATTGGTTTTGTTAAGTTTTTTTTTTATTACCAAGTGTACACACCAATAGCTTTATAATATTGTGTTTTATCGTTAAACATTTATAATATGTATACCTTTGTTATTTTATGTTTGTGTGAAATATGTCCAGTTTCTGGTAAAATCGACGCAACACAATTTCAACTTTTTAAATATTAAATTTTTATGTTTTATTATTACTTTAATAGATGACAATATCATATGTAATTATATTATTCTGATAAAAAATAAAAATGTTGGTTACTTATAAACACAATTTAACAATTTAACTTTGTTGCGACATCTTTACCAGAGACTTCCATAAATTCCAACCGTATTGTTATAATATGTACAGTAGGAAAAATTTTTTAAATGTGTTTTTTATTACTATTATTATTATTATTATTTTTAATATTATTGTTTTTGAAGTCTAGTCGAGTCCTTAAGTGGCATATCTTTTTTAATTCCGCCCATTTTATTATATCCCTCTCAATGATACAATGTTGTTACCTTTTAATTGTTATATATATCGTTGCCATCTGTGATATAATATCCATATTTTAATATATTATTATGTTTCTCCTCTCCATTTGACCTCTATTTTTTACATGCAAGTTTTACTGTATTTATTTGATTATAGAGAGTTGGCTTTACTGGATTTTGGATGCTTACCACACTCTAGTTTCTAGTAAAAACTGAAAATGTGTTATGTGTCTATCCAGTAAGTGTCGGACAGATTTTTATTATATACCTCTCCCCACCATTGACCAAATATTATACGTGTCATTACTGTTTATTTTGTATTGCTATATTTAGCATCTTACTGTACATTTTGTTACAATTCACTATGTTATTAATATAATATTATATTGATTCGAAAAGATGATTTTTTTTTTTGAGATTTGTTACCAATTTAGTATTATTTTAAACATTTTAATACCTTTATATGCATACATAATAATATAGAATCTGTATATAACATTAGGCTGTGTACTTTTTGAAATGAGTGAGTTAGACCACTATGTATTCAAAATAAATATAAATTACATTTTAATCAACAGTATGTTTGCCATATATTTGTTATAATATATTACGTTGTTCTTTATTTAAAATAAAATGGTATTATTTAGTAGTCTCGGTAAGTTGTTTTAAATAGTGGTTTAAACTATTTATGTGTAGGTACCTACCTACTATTAAAAATATTATTAAAAAGAACAAAAAAAAATAAATTACTAATGAATGATAACACAAATAAATTAACCTAAATATGTTATATTGGAGAATATCAGTGCATAATTTTTTTTTTTTTTTTTTTTTGTCTAATCCATGCTGCAAAACCAATTTTCTAATATTAACTTTAATATTAGAGTGGGCTAACTGATATATTATTAATAAATATAAAGGTAATATCATTTTATAGATATGATTGTATTTGTAAGTTGACTTTTTTTCTAAGATATTTCAATTTGTACGCCAATACATATAATTTTACTATTTAAAAATTATCACGTTATCTAACAAAAACATAACTGTTTATATTTTTATGGACCATGTAATAATTATATTATAAAACATGTATATTGTGCGGAGTGGTGACACATGTTCTGATTAGTTTACAAGACAATGTGAGATCAGATCAGATAGTGTGAGCATTGTATTATTTAATTAGACTATTTAGGTATGATCACACGTCGCTCACTTCTTAGTAAAGTTAAAACTCTGAAAACTAAAAGTCGACTAGAATAATAATCAAAATCCAAGAGCCCTCGTGTCATCGGAATTCGCCACCATCACAATCACTTTTCTTTGTGAACTGACCATTTATAAGAGAGATCTGTACAAGAGTTCAGCAGACGGTTAGGAATATCCGAGACGCTCAAAGGCAAGTCGTAACTCCACTCTCATTCTCGTTTATCATATTTTTAAGTCTGATCGTAACACCGCTCACTCAGCCCCTTTTGTTTACACTTATTGTAGGTATATATATTTGTATGAGTTGATTATTTTAATAAAGATCTTATTAAAACATTCAAACACCAAGTATTTCATTCTTACGTTGATGTATGAATCGACGTTGAACCAGCACGCAACAATATTAACAAAAAATGTATAAAATTATATAACTGTTTCAATAGCACATTACGTAGAAAAAAAATATATACTTAAATTATAACAGTATTATATACTTTAACATTTAAATTAAGTGATATATCGAACACGGAATTCATGCATCAATATAATCGATATTACTGTTAAAAAAGTGCATTGTTTCACGGTTTTATGTTAAAAAAGTACGTTTCACATTTTTGTGAAATATTTTTTTATAATATACTTAATAGCGAAATATTTCAGAATTTAAATTAAATACAACCAATAAAATGATTAGGAATGGGCAGTATTTTATGAGTATATTTTAAAATTACTTAATTTTAGGCACCTACTATCTACAAATTAAAATACATATTTTTTCGAAAAATAAGTTAAAAATTGAATGATTATAAAGTTTTCAAACAATTTTTTAATTTTCAGAACATTGGGTTTATACACTTGCGAAAAACAAACACCAATATCATTGAACACAGACAGTGATAGTTATATGAATTAGATTTAGATAGATAATTGTTTTCATTATTTGAGTTAATTGAGTTTCTAATAATTATCCACTAAATAATTTACAATAGAAAAGAGGGGGTTATAGATATCTGAAAAATAGAAATTTTTAATTATACAGAATGCTCTTCAAGTAGTTAGCAACAAAAAATATCAAAAATTTAATTTTAAATAACCGAATTATTAAGAAAAAAATGTAAGCATGTTTGGTAAATCGTCTTCGGTGTTTATAGGTACAAGGCAATTTTTTATAATCAAACTACACTCAATATTTTAAAATTCATGTTTTTAAAAATATTTTTTTTTATAATTTTCAGTTAAAATAAAACAATATTGTTTAAAAAA